GTTGGGTCAACTCGAGAATTCAATTTCGTGTTACACAACAGGTTTGGAAGTCCAAAAACAAATTCTTGGAGAACGGGATCCAAGAGTCTGTGAGACGTGTAGGTATTTGGTTGAAGCTCACATTCAAGCAATGCAGTTTGACGAAGCTCAGAAGCTTTGTCAAATGGCTCTTGATATCCACAGAGAGAATGGTTCTCCATCTTCCCTTGAAGAAGCGGCCGATAGGAGACTCATGGGGATGATTTGTGAGTCGAAGGGAGATCACGAAACTGCTCTTGAGCATCTTGTATTAGCCAGCATGGCCATGGTGGCTAACGGGCAGGAATCCGAGGTGGCATCTGTCGATTGCAGCATTGGGGATACTTACTTATCCTTAAACAGGTATGATGAGGCAATTTTAGCTTATCAGAAAGCACTTACATCTCTCAAGTCGAGTAAAGGAGAAAACCATCCAGCTGTTGCGTCAGTTTTTGTCCGTCTGGCTGACTTGTATAACAAGACGGGAAAATTAAGGGACTCGAGATCGTACTGTGAGAATGCCCTTCGTATTTACGAAAAGCCCATACCTGGGATTGCTCCCGAAGAAATTGCTAGTGGTCTAACCGACATCTCTGCTATTTACGATTCATTGAACGAGCTCGAGCACGCACTTAAGTTGCTGAAGAAGGCACTAAAGATATACAGCGATGTGCCTGGTCAGCAAAACACAGTTGCTGGAATCGAAGCGCAAATGGGAGTTATGCATTATATGTTGGGAAACTACTCAGAGTCTTACTCCTCGTTTAAAAGTGCGACTACAAAGCTCCGAGCAAGCGGGGAGAAGAAATCTGCTTTCTTTGGGATTGCTCTTAACCAAATGGGGCTAGCTTGTGTGCAGCGTTATGCGATTAATGAAGCTGTCGAATTGTTTGAAGAAGCACGGTTCATACTGGAGCAAGAATACGGACCATATCACCCTGATACACTTGGAGTTTATAGTAATCTTGCTGGCACCTATGATGCAATTGGGAGGTACTTAACATTTCTTAATATTCTTAGTTACAAATTTGCAAAATTTCATGTTTACAGCTGTGATTCTTTAGCTAATATTATATTTCCTTAAATTAATTAAATCGACGATGAACTGAACTTGCATGCAGAACTATAGGTTCTATATTTAACAATTGAATGGATCACATTATGCATCACATAAGTTTTACATTGTGCCAAAAGGATGAAAGGATTTAAGGTCTGTTTGGCACGGAATTTGAAAAGCCAAAACTTGCGTTTGGACCGATCCATTTGGATAATTTTCTGGAAGTACTTTGTCCAGTTAGAAAAGCTTTTAGAGAAAGTTGACCGAAGTTGG